TTTACCAAACACCCAATTCATGCCAAATTTTTATTAAAGCTGCTTTTTAAAAAATTTCAGCGGGGCCAAACGCCACCTTAATGCTCTTCTTTTTTACTACCTATGCGAAAGGAAAATGAAATTCAAGTGGGTTGGAGGGTTTCATTTAATTTCTTATGTCACCGAACATAAGAAATTAAATTATTTTCTAAACTAATTTGCTTGCAAACCAAACGCCTACAATTTTTAAGTACGGGTGTGAGACGAAGGGAAAATAGAAAAGATTAGCAAAAAGAAAAGAAAAAATAAAGAAGAGGATAAACTGGCGTCAGCTAGAGTTCATAAGCCCAATGGGCCGACTTTGTACCGAAACAGAACCAAAGCGAAGAGGAAGGATGATTTATATCCCAAACCGACCCGGAATTTTCACGTCTTTCTTTCTCATACAAGAAAAGTGCTTGACAGAACCCAAAAGAAATGCAAATTGCTGGCTTCACTCTCTGGTCGAATCAAATCGAAGAACGAAATTGAACAAGGTAAAAACCCTAAATTTCATCAACGCAAACTTCGGATGAATTATTTACGTGTGGATTCAATTGTTTGTTCGCGCTATTTTTTCCTTTTACTCCAGTACATCTTTCTGCGAATAAATCCCCAAAATTTTAGATGTACGTTTCGATGCTGAGAAAAACTTGAGAGAAAGTTAAAATTTCTTCGAAGAATTAGGAAATTTGAGCTAGTTTTGTTTTCAGCATCCGGTGATTAATTTAGGTTGCATTAACACTAAATTGAGTCTGATTTCTGATGGATGTTTTGTTGAAATCTTTCTTCTGCTTGCATCAACCCCAGTACATAAATCTAGGCTAAGTAACTGAAAACGAACTTAACAAAGGAGAAGGAAGTTCCAGAGAGAGAAAGATTGAGAGAGAATGGCGGACTATCACTTTGTATACAAGGACGTGGAAGGAGCATCGACGCAATGGGACGACATACAGAGAAAGCTAGGGAACCTACCGGCAAAGCCACCGGCGTTCAAGCCAGCACCTTTCACTCCAGCCGAGGACGAAGCCTCTCTTCCAAAGGACAAGTCCTGGATCGATGAAAAGACCGAACAGGACCTGGAAGACCTGGAAGACAATCCCGATCTTGACGACGATCGCTTCCTTGA